ATACTCGATCAAAAAATCATGCATGAATTAGAGTTTATTTTACCGTTATGAATAAATATTTGTGTTATCTGCCAAGTATTTCATCATTAATCTCGTATATCGTTGAAATCATAGATCGATTATTGTTAGACGCGGATGAGAAACCTAGAAGCACTGGACGGCTGTTTCGTTCTGGCATGGGATTCATCAACTGTGTTGATACCCTACTCGCCGGAATCGAACGCAAGACCTTCAGTCTCGCGTACGAACGTTTAACCTCTAGACCACTGAGCCAGCATCCACCGGTGTTAATGTTTCACTTTAATCAATCCAAGGTAGTGAGCAACCTCTAACAATAATCGACTCACAATTCCAGTGAAACTTAACAATCTTCGCGACTCTATAATCAAAAGTCTCAAATAGATTTTATGCTAATCTGTAATACTCAAGCAAATTCATTTGATTAAGTCCCTTAATCAGTAGTGTAATTGTTGATACTCATAATAATCTAGAATCAATAGATCAGTATCTCAGATTATTTTTTACTCTGTTAACAAAGATTCTATAATATCTGTTTAACATCATTGAATGAATGTATCTCCAGGTTTTTACATATCAGTACATAAGATCTTAGCCTTGAAATGAAATCATCTAGTTAGGCATCCAATACCAGATTAGTTACGTTTATTTTTGCCGAACAAAGTTTATTCTAGCAGGTGAATTAAAAGTTTGATACATTTTGCCTAAAATTATTGATAATAATAATAATAATTCCTATGTTATGAATTTGAGAGACATGTACAAGCCTAAAAAATAAATTGTTTTCAATTTGATCTTCATAAGATCTTCCTAAACATAAACATAATATTTGTGTGCATATATAAAATTATTAGACTGATCCAGGTAGTTTATGTAGCAGCGATAACAGTGGAATAGATTACATCAATAAACAAAATAAGTTAAATATACAGACTCATAACATGATGAGTAGGGGGACAGTTTGATCTGGTCTTTATTACATATCAGAAGCTTTAGGGATTTGAGTTAACAATTCAAGAATTAGCCTAAGGAAACGATTTTATTATTATTATTATTATTTTCCATACCTTTTGCTCGTTTTTTTAAATCTTTTTCATATATATTCCCTTTACTGTCTAATTATCTGAACACTTTTGATTACGTTAATTCATAATTTCTATTGAATGATACTTAAGTATCTATCATTGTTGGTCTACTTATTGGTATTGTCACAAGTACAATTTTCATCATATTATCATCTTGTCATTTTTACCTCTTTTTTATTGATGTTATCAGTTCAACTATTATCAGTTACTCAGAATTCTATATACGCATACAAATATTAGTGTATATTGAGGTCTTGTGACAATCAAACGGAAAGCAATATTTTTGTAGCTTAGAAATAACACTAATTGGTTTAAATTATTCGGAAGAGAATTTTGAATTTTATTTAACTAGCAAACACATATCAGCAAGATTTTATCTGGAGACTTGTGTCTATTGCTCTGTGGTGGTGTTTCGTTCTCTGAGCTGGATGTTTCGGTTGTGGAGCTTTCATTGTTCTTCTGAACAACATCATCAGCATAAACTTCAGATCGAAGTGAAGCATTCGAATTTCTCCACGTTTGACCTGTAGCTTGTTCTGCTAACGGCGATCTTGATTGTTTGCTATTGACCTTAAACCTGTCGTTGTTTGAACCTTTGTTTTGATTGTATCCTCCTTTTATCCTGTTTCTTGATCCTATGTCACCTATGATTTTTCTGATTGGTTGCTTTCCATGCAATTCAAACTTGCATCATCTTGGGATCAGTGATTGCCATGATAAATTCACATTACCAATTCTGCAATGCTTCTTCAAGTGAATTATAATCTTGGACATGATTTCAGTTTCCTGCGAATTATTGAAAACTTTTATTTGAAAAAAACAACTCAAGTTCAAGTAATCCCAGTGAAATATGCAGCAATCACATTCATACACACACACACACACACTATGCAGCAATGATGTTCACAACTCAAAAAAGTACATGAATATACAAGCAAGTATTGAGGCTATATAAATGAACAAAGATAATGACAATTCGCCTAACCCTATATAATGACGATAATCAAAACAGAAAAGTCTTGTCGAGTAACTACCTACTACTACTACTACCACTATTACTAGTACTAATTACTTATTAAAATAAATTACAAAAGGCAGATAAACAAAAGTAGAAAAAAAAAGAAAAGAAATAATGCAATAATAATAATAACGATTCATTATCGAAAAATGATTTATATTTTGATTTAAGATAAATAACTATCTAGGGATATTAGTCATTATTCTTCTGATTTTTCTCTCTTCTTCCTCTTAAAAACTATTTACAAAATAACAATAAATGTAAAAAAAGAAGTTGAAATGTAAAGGGAAAGCTGTTCAATAAAAAAAAAGAATTTTAAATAACAATATATATATATATATATATATATATATATATATATATATATATTGGGTATGCTTTGTTGTAACAATTATACGAGTATTCCTGTTCATCAATAATACACACACACACACACACTCGTACAAGAATACACATAAGCACCCGTTGAAATGTATAGAAATAAGACAGAGCGATAGAGGATAATATGAATGAGAGGAATAATTAGTAAACTCTAAAGAAATTGTAGAAATCTATCACATCAAAGTATAGAGGTAAAGAATGCAAATAAATTCCTCAGAAATATCGTTATGTAGGAATGAGGAATTTCATTAAAAAGTTACGAACCGATCAATGGCCATTTTATTCTAATGTGAGACTCCACATTCATGAGACTGCAAGCAGGGATCGAATGGAGGACATTCGTTCTTGAGCACGAACCTTTGATGTTCACACTAATGATTCGAGATCCAATTATTTACAACTCTAATTTTACGATATTACCCAATCATCTCCTGTTGTCCTCATAGATACTTGATACATGATATTTGTCATTAGGGGGGCTGTGGAAATCACTGAAATTCATTAAAATGTCGTGCCGATTAAGTTTAAACAATCTTTGGAGAAAAATCAGAAACACTGATGAAGAGTTCCGCATGAGAACAAAATGGCCAAGTTTTCTATGATTATCTGAATTAAATGGGTTTGTGAATTCAAACCGCGATTCTCTTCTCACAGGATCTTGAGAAGACGGATAATTGTCATTCGTGAGGTCGAATTTGTATGTCATTGACTTCTCTCTTAGTAGGCAAACTACCCTGAAGAAAACATTTACAGTTTATGTCTTGTAACAATACTGTTTTCTTTTCATCTATGTATTCATTAGACAAAAGCTGACGTCTTATTGACTAAGGCCCAGGTCAAAATTGGTTGTAAGCTTTTCCTGAGAATAGCTCAAAAGTCGACAGATCTCAAACCAGTAAAGCTAAATTATTAGCACTTAAAACCAACATACTTTTTGGGGATATACGCAAAAACTCTTAATGAAAGAGTGATGCACCATTCTAGATATCAGATTTAATTATAAGTTCAGTTAAATAAATTCAATGGCACCAGCTAGTCGAATATTGCCTGACTAGAATTTAAACCTCTGATTATATGTGATATCAGTTAAAGCTGTTCTGAACAACTAGTGGGAAACATAAAGGACACAATACTTCAATAGTATCCCAGTTTATAGGTACTATAAAAAACTTGGATAGATAAATGCTAGAATGATTTCTATTTAGTTGATTTGAATAAATGATCGAAGAAAAGCTATGTAGTTAAGCCACCAAAAAATAAACCGGATATCTGATGTGAAAATTGTGGTGAATTATGGTGATTTACGATATGTACAGCTTTCTCACTTATGTCTTTTGTCTGACATTTATTTCCTTAAATTTTAACTCAACTCATGCTATTGAGTTCAATCGAAATTCCCAAATCATTGGATTATCATTTTTGTCTTCAAAATTTCAAAATACGCATTTTGTTAAGTGTTATTCATTGATACGATAGTTAGGGGGATTCAAATGAAGCTTACAAAATCATAACTTAGGCAAGAAGTCGAATCAAAAGTAAAATATTTAAATATCTACGTGACTGAATAACGATAAGGCTTCATCGCAAATGGATTGTTTATTAAAAGCGAAAAAAATTCCCTGGGTAATTGGGTAAGATATAGTGTCAGTATATCTGCAGTGCATGAGTTATTTGTTGTATGAAATCATGATGGTTCATTGTTTAAAAGATTCAAAATAAAAATGGAATGATTTTTATTTAGTCATTCCGTTTGCAATACTTCTCAAATTGCTGGAAATCATTCATAAAAACGTTAACTTATTCAAACTAATTGTCAGTCAGTCAGTCAGTGAAATACAACGTAGAACGTCGTACGTAAATACATCACTTCAGATTGCCATACCACGATATTACAGTCGATTCAAATCACATAGTGGTAGAGATAGTAGAATAATTACTGGTAATGGAGAAGATTAGGATCTGAAGATAATATTCAAGGAGTTTAATTCAGTGATATAAGTTTAGAAAAACAAAGGTAGAGGTGTTGACAAATATCGAAGATTAGGATTTGAGATAACACAGAGTGGATGCACTTGCGCCATTGCAAACGATTTTGAGCCATGTCGTTCAAGGTCTCTAACCATCGGAGACTTTCGTCTAGCGAACCCCAACCAGGTAGCCTACATCTACCAACATGACTCAGTCCACTTGTCAGTGACTTCATGGATTACTGCCATGTTTTGGTTTGACCGCCCCTAACTTCCTTCCAAGTTACTCCTATACCGCGAAACATAGCTCATCGAGGCAGTCGTTGGTTAGGCACACGTAACATATGTCCCAACCACCTCAACTGATGAAGTTTCAATACTTCATCAATTGATCTGGCATCCTTACCTAGTACTAGTTTCCTAATGACAGCATTGCTTACTCGTTTGTCCCACGATATACGAGCAATGCTTCTTAAACATCTAAGACAACTAATTGTAATATTTTTTTTGATCATAAATACTTTTAATTACCTGGTGAAAAATGAAGCTGCAGCGGAAATTTGTGTTACTGATGGTTGTTGATTTAGCGTACTACTTTTATTGGATGAATTTAATTGATGCGTACTTTTATCCTGTTCACAGTTTTGATCTGTACCACTTTCATTGATTTCACTATCCAATCGTTGTTGACGTGTATTAACTATCGATGGATTTGCCTCACCCCTATTATTCGTTGACTGATGTTGATTATGATGATCTTCAGAATGTGATTGCATCTAAATTGGATCAACAGAAAAGCAGAAAAAAAAATAATTATCTTAAGAATAAAGTTTTTTTTTTTGCAGCAGCAGCAGCAGACGACAACTTGAAGATAAATGTCTTTTGTTTTTCTTTGTCATCATTCATCATGATGAATTCAAATGGAAATTTCTTTATCCCTTTTTCCATTCTTCAAATAAATATGCCTAAGTATTGACACATTTATTTTACTACTTAGCTTTGACATATGATTCATCTGAATAAACAACGTTAAAAAATAATTCAAGGGAAAAGAAAATGCTTCCACTATAAACCTAATTCCTCTTCACTATCGTACGTATATTTGAAAAAAAATAATTTTTAGTGAAGTAAATACAATTTCAGGTTCATTAAAATTAGTTCAATTTTTTTCAATTATTTTTATTGAAAGACTTTCTATCCATTTGTCGATTTTTTTTCTTAACTCTGTCATTTTGTGTCCTCTCTCTCTCTCTCTCTCTCTGTAACTTTTACACATTCTACGTCATATCTGTTAAGATTTTTAGGGGAAAAGAAAAAATTTAGAAATACACTAACATTAACAACACACTTTTCACAGTTGAAGATTATTTCTAGTTTTTTTCCTTTTTCTAACTGTAATAAATCATAGTGGTCTCTCAATCACAAATTTTTTTTTTGTTTGTGACCGTTTTATAAAAGACAGAAACCTATTATCTTTTTTCTCTTATCCAGTCAATGAGCAAAAAAAATATCACGTTAAATAAATGAAAAGTAAATTATCATGATAAATCATCTCAATTTCTTGTTTTTTTTTGAATATATATATCTCATTGTAGACTTTAGACTCGGCATTACTACCAACCAATAAGAAGTAATGTAATGATCTTGTTGGACTGTGTTATTTTTAAAGAATGTGAATGGGAATGCTAAATAAGGAGTTTGACATAAGTTCACATTGTTCATCGATCTTTGTTATTCCACAATTCGCCATTCCTTGTTAAAAACTTTAAACTCAGTGGTATATATAGATAGCCTAACTACACGTTAATGAACCTGAGAAGATTAAAAATGCAAACCCAGAAGTTAACTGACACACTGAGGAAACTTTGTATATAAAATCATAGATTTTAAATTTAACTAACTTGATAAAAAGATTGAAAATATGCTTAAATCAGGTATTAAAGAATTAAGCCTTATGTGAAGGTTTATCTATAACAAAAATGCATTTCTTTTTTTATTGAACTACTGGAAAGGATATACCGTTAGTAATGTATTGTACTTTGAAGCATTCTCTCAATTAAACTACTGTAACTTAAATATTATAGTCTGAAATTCATGAAATAAACATCACGACTTTAGTTTTGTGCAGGTACTTTAGTACGTCATGAAATTTTTTACCAATTAACACCAACTAGGTAACTTTTATAAACCCACGATTCAGAGAATAAGTTAATGATAAATAAACTAGTATTAGGGTGTTTATTAATATACCAGTTTTGCTTCCGACCTCTAAGCTGTATACAACTTTGAATTGGCGCTGTGTATATTCTATATCTTTTATTGTCAAGATATCTGAGTCGATAAAATAGCTGTACAAATATAGTCTTCCCTTCTAACTAGAGAGTTTTCGTACTTTTTGTAATTTTAATCCATGTTTCTATCAAAGTTAAATAAATTATTTTTAAAATTTTTAAATTAAATGTAAGACATTAAGCACTGAGTCAGGATCTTATCCAAAGCTGTTGATACAGGCAAGTCAGACTTTCATAATACCTATCTATCCGATAAATATAGGATTCAGTGGCTGAAAATATTCCGAAATAGTACACGTTCAATAATAACTAAACATCTGAGCAGTTTTTTACATGAATAAGTTTCAGTAAACTAAATGAAAACCTGTGTTATTTTGAGACGTAGCCAAAGTTATTGAGACATCATACAGTTGACTTGAGGGCATAATAAAAACACAAAGATAAAACATGACCGTTTTATATATATATATATATATATATATATATATATATATATTTAATAGGAATCAATAGCTAAATGTACTCAATTGCAAATATACAGTGGTTAGTTCTCTTCCATAAGTGTTCGCTTCTAATAAAGTGTATATGAAGCTTCTATTACTTAATTTTAGGTAAACAAATTATCATGTACCGAGGCTTTACTACTCTACATTAACAAAAATAAGCATATCCAATGGTTTCCGTTTAATGGAACCACGATGTCCAGTTGTTTGAGAGGTTATAAATGTTCATTATCGTTACACAATCAAAGGGTTCACCATTTAATTCTACTAACACGTTTTATCCAAAATAGTAAGATCGTTTCTCTGAAATCCAGTAAAAATGAAGTTTTCATAGGATTTATATATATATATATATACATTGTGAAAGATGACGCGCTCTCTGACATGTTTACATTAACAACTCGGTTAGTTAATTATTTCCACTATATGAAGTCATTCAAATATTCCAGTATAAACCAGTGAATAAAAGACTGAAATCTGCATCCTTATTTACTGTTTCTAAAATATAATTCATTGTATTGTCAAAAATAATATTTGATTTTCACTAAAATCTAACACTGATATTCGATTATTCTAATATTCTAATAATTTGTGTTTTAAATCCACTTAAAACTTTAATTAATCTTGGATATGATACCTAAATACGAGGGAAGAATGTAACAATAAACAATGAAATTGTCACTGATGCGATATTCGGTTATGATAGTGTCTAAATATGAAGAGTCCATCTAAGAGGAATTATAAAAATTGAGAACAATAGCAATCAACACAAAATTTTATGAGCCTAAATGTAGCTAAAATAGTGACATGATATTTTCAATGATTTTTTTCTTTCTCACCGTTAAAAATAAGACATAATAATTACTATATATATCCTAATCAAGATATTTATATATCATACTACACAATTATATTTCCATGTAAAATCTCAGATACTAGTAATTCATTAATATCTACCTTTATATAATCATTGTGAGTACTATCAGAAAAATATTCAACCTTATTTGGTCAGTTTATACAAAAAATTCTAGTTACTTATTATCCGAGATCAATTCTGTGTTCATCTTCAATCTTCACTTAGTCATCACAGAATGTCAAGGTATAAGATGTAAATAAACTAAGTTGAACAATTATGAATTACCTGTTTATTTACTGAATACTTTTTCACAAAAAAACAAAAACAAACTAATATACACATACTTGCACAAACGGTACACCATTCATAACAAACATAGCTGATATAATTAATTTTTTTTAAAAAAAATTCAAATTATTGGCATCTACTTAACTTACAAGATAAACAGTATTTTTTTTATTGAAGTGTAAACACTTGTTACTGGTCCACTTATCTTTTGTTTCCTTGATTATCTATTTTTTTTTGCAGTTATTTCATTGATAATAGAACTTCTGTCTTTTTATTTATTCATAATTTTTATTTTCAAAAAAAATAAATTTTGTTTAATTTACTAATAGAATTAAGCTCTTTTTCTTTTTTACATTTTTATATCATTGAATTAGTGAATAAGTAAATAAATAAATAATTTAATGAATAAATAATAATTACATTCAGTAATCAATAGGTGTTCACAGCTTTTATTTAGCTTGGTTTGTTAGTCATTAGTAGAAGTGATAATCAACATTATGATGTTTATTTCTTAAAAACAGAACAAGATCAAATTAATATGCATACAATGCAAGCAGGATACATGTTTCAATGGATAAACCCAGTAAACAATGACTGTCAATTCAATCGGGGAAAAAGGGGACGCGGGATTAAATGTAGACCAAAATTTTATTTGATGATAAACATGATTTTATGAATATTGAGTAGTAGCGAATTTTGTTTTTTCTGACTGCTCTTGCTTGAATTTATTCATCCAGTGATTATGATGTGAAAACATTCAATATCAGTTAGTTTGAATTTTACAAATATTCTTACATATTTTTTTTACAAACAGTACCTTGCAATATGATTTCCTTTTGATTCGATATCAAACGAAAAGATTCATTACCTATGATATAAGTGAATTAACTTTTCCACTTTTTTGAAAAAAGAAAACGGCTATTCAACTAATAACAAGATGTGTAATGACACATATAAAATAGTTGAGATAGTCTTAGGCTCATTCAGAATGAGCATCTTTAGGATTCGAATATTTAGGAAATTTTTACTATGCTTTAAAAGGCATAAACACTGGTGGCAGCTAGATATTAGATAAAAAGAAACAGAAATAATTTTTTCGTCTACTATGTATTTAACATGTTTTAGGATTGAATGTGTTAGATTTTCTCATTCTGTGGCTTAATGTAAATCATGAGAGGGAAATATTTTTCAGAAAACACAAAGATTAAATTGTAGATATCGGTTTTCTTTTTCTATTGAGAAAAAACTGTCAAAATTACGGTCGATATTTTATGTCTGAGATGTCATAAACAAATGAAATTAAACAAATATGACTTGAAATTGAATAAGACAGGTGAGGTTTGTTTTAGTACGCTATATAACTAACTCTCTTTTGTTGTGAGTGAGTGTTAGAATTTAAAAAGTGTCTGTTTGTTTAGTAAATAAAGGCTTTTCTTAAGAAATGAGAGTTTTAATTTAAATAGCTTCTCGATACTTGGTGCGCCGCAACATTTATTCAGCCTAAATCGAAACTTTGATTAATATCAATCTAACTAAACTGTTTAACCAGTTATGAATGCAATATGATCAAGATGTAGGACTGAAATTAAAGTATTATCTGTGTTGTATGTACTTTATGCATGTTGTTTGTTTGTTATAATCAATACTAAGTTAATTTATTCATTTTTTAAAAGAAAAAATTGCTCCTAATTTGAAAAGTGTTTGACTGTAAGCTGAAAATAAATTAAATTGACATTTTTTTTATCTAGCGCTTGAGTGGTTAGTAAATAAAGAGCGAATTTTAAAAATAGCTTTTGTAAATATTAATCATATGCAGGTTTATAAAAATCAAAGATTTA